TCTTTAATCTGACGAAAACCGCCGTGTACTTTGTGGTTCTTGAACTCTGGCTGATGTTCGCGCAGGTGCTATTGATTTAGAGTTTTTTTTTAGTGTCCTGTCTGTTGATTGATTTAATCCGAAATTAAGTTCATAAATTATAGAGTGTATTGCAAAAAACGAAGGATCCAACGTTTGAGATATCTTGATACGTTCAAACTTTACATTGTATGTCGACATGATGTACATCACAATTTATCAAAAAAAAAAAAAAAAATCGTGTTTTTGGAAAAAGAAACATTACCGTCTAATAAAATAACAAATAATTGATAAACGTTATCAGTTGAATTTTGGAAAACTTCTAAAAATATAGTAAATACACATTAAATTATTCATGACAAATTTCATCAGTCGAGAGGAGTAGTTATTAACGATGTAGTTATTGAGGTCAATGTAATAGGGACCGTGGAGAACAAATCAGAACCCGAAAGGGTTACAAATCAAACTCGAAATTCCATAAATAGTGTCTCGTGGGACCAGACAACGATTCCTCTTCAGGAACGCTCCGCGGACTTTCGTTTAGCTCGGGTGGGACGGGACATGTCAAAGAACTTAATTTCTTCGCGGCGGACCCTAATTTCTCCGGTGTTTTAGTTTAGTATAGGTTCGGCTGGGCACGGCTGTAATCAGAAGGGTCTTAATGGTGGGTTGCTGAGACCGGCGTGTGAACTGTGGGCGTGAACGACTCGCTTCCTATCTTCGGTATCTGACGTGCAGCACGTGCTGGACCGAGATGCTGGAGAGATGCTCTCGCCGCTATTAAAGAACGCACGCTCGCGTCTCATCTCGAGAGCTATCGACGATGTTTAATGTCAGTTCTGTGTAGAGAACTTATGTGAACTTACTTTTCTCTTAATACATTCCATTTGGGCAAACGAGGAGGGAAAACTGAATTTTGATCCTGAGACAAATTCGTTAATAATTGACGATCTTTAGAGAATTAGGTATTTTTTAATTAAATATTCAAGTGGCATCATCATTGATTACTTTCAGCGGGAAGTAGTGGCGATGATTCCGATACGGAAAGCGAGCCTGGCATCGCGCTAAAAAGGAAGCAACGCAGGAGTAGGACTACCTTTACCGGCGAACAACTGGAGCAACTGGAAGCGGCTTTTCATCGCACGCAATATCCTGATGTGTATACTAGAGAAGAACTCGCACAAAAGTGAGTTTTGTGAAAAATACTCTATATTTTAAAACAATTTCGCGTTTAAATATTTAAATCACGCAAATGAAAAAATAGCATAAAATAAAATGTTAGATTTATATATCAAATTAATATTATTGGTTATTAAAAAAATTAAACACATATTTTTTATTAAGATTCAAACTTCAATTTTTTGTAGTAATTGTCGATCAAAGTGAGTTGTAAAATCAAAATGTAGTCTTATCGTTTTATGATAATAATCGTTATTTATATTTTTACTAATAACCGTGGATTTTTTTTTTTTTTTGCAGGACGAAGTTGACGGAAGCGCGAGTACAAGTTTGGTTTAGCAATAGACGCGCCAGACTTCGCAAACAGCTCAATAGTCAACAGCTGAATGCCTTCAACGCCATGGGATTACAATCCTTCCAAACTCAACACTATGGCAGTGGCGCTGAGAGCTATCAGAGCTATGGACAGGCGAGTGTTACTGCTGCCGCAGCCACCACCGCCAGCTACCCTCAGCATTACAATTATGGGGATAATTATTATACAACACAGCAACAATGGCCACGAACAACTCCGGACAATTACGGGTAAGTTTCCACTTGATATATACTTGTGTATATAAAAAGAATCCACTCTGAAAGATCTGAGAGATCTGCGTTAAACTGTGCAAGTTTGATATTTTATTCTAGAAATTCTTGTTTTTAATAGCGAAAAATCTAGTGTAAGTCAATTTTTCGCGGATATTATATACAATTTTTATTATATAAGATCCTCCATTATTATTAGATGTCTTTTCCATTACAAATTCTTTAAATATTACTCTTCTATTATTATTGTTCGCGACTTTATAATTCTCAAATCTTGGCAACTAATTTTCAGAATCTTTCAAGAATTTTGATTTTAATTAATATTCAATTTTATCTTTTATATATATTATATAAGGAAAGTAGGGTAAAACCGGGTACTTTTTTGAATTTGTCTTCCTACAAAAAATCAGAGAGCAAAAAAAATTGTGCTGACTGCTAGTAGTCTTTAGTGAACTTTAAACTATGAGAAAATAAGGCTAGTTGCTGAAAAAAATACTTGGTTACCAAGGATAACAAGATTTTTTGGAGAAGTCAAAATATCCGGTTTTGCAGTAGAGTGAAACCGAGTACTCATTTGAAAACATGTAAAACAATTACAAAATCTAGATTTATTTTAATCAAAATACAATACAAAAAGGTATTCTATTGACAAAAATCACAAATAAAGATATCCTCTTGTTCTTCATTGCTGTAGAATTTTTTTATTTAATTTTTTGACTTTAGGAGTCTCAAAAAGCTTTTTTTTTAGTGGTTTCTTTTTCTGAGTGGTAGTTTTCGTTTCCAACTGCTTTTTAGGGAGACAAAGTCAGGATAACAGTTCTTCCTCTTTTCATTACATGAAATGTGTAGATACCCGGTTTTGCCCCAACACAAGGAAAGTAACAAACACGCTGGTTGTATATTCCGACGTACAAAGTGACGATCAAAAATAATGCGATATACTCTCTAATATGTACAGAATGCAATGCTGCATTTACCGAAGCAGATGCTCTGCGTAGAAAAAGTCCATAACGACTCGATTGTTGTCCCGATATCGATCTTCCCTGGCCCGAAAATTTTGAACTTCTCTCAAAAAAAAAAAAATATCGTGTGCACGTGGGCACGGTTTATCTCAAAATAATGATGGCATCAATCTACAACTAATAACACGAGTTAGTCAAAAATAGTAGCACTTATCACGAAAAAAACAGAGGTACCCGATTTGACCCGCCTACCAGGTTTTACCCTACTTTTTTATATATATTATCCCTCTTTACGTTCGAAAAATTCGATAAAAAAATGGTCCGTTTATTCGAGCGACTCGAAATCATATAGAGACAAATCGAACGCGGCGCTTCTCATCCGCGAATTCCCTCGCAATAATTATGCGTCGCTATCTCGCGACGCTGCCATGATCGGTTAAAGCTAGATCACGGCGCAGGTACATACACTCTATGCCGAAGGATCAAGACCTGGGTTGGATTATTAGCCGGTAGCGTTTCATTATGGAGGCTCGAGAAGCAACATAATTGAGGACCACACAGAAAACGTGTCGGTGGGGCCCCGTTGGCTCTCTCTTTCTCTCGCTTCCTTGTTTCCTCTCCGCGTTTTCTCTTTCTCTCTCTCTCTCTCTCTCTCTCTCTCTGTTCCTTTATCTGCTAGAGTGAATCGGCTCGTCCGCTCGGCGTGTAACAACACACTGTAGCAACACGGCCACCGGAGCAACCTGTTATTACGCCACAATGGCTGAATTAATTGTTCGAAACACCCCGGTTTCGCCGTCTTTATCTCCGCGCGCGCCTCTTTTTCGCGGCGGTACGTTTCAAGCTTTCCGTCTCACTCGAACACCTGTATAATCGCTACCGTTAACTTGCATCGCTGTGTCAAATCATCACGTGGTATGGCCGAGCACATTCGCCGGTTTTAAATATCCGAGATAATGCTCATGGACCCCCCGGTGGAGTGTCAGGCTATCGCATGGGCGGTCCCTTTTCATGGTCGGAGCGAAAGATTTCACTGCTGTCGATAACTGTCGTCGTTTTTGCCGTTTCACGTTTAAGCAGCGTGGAAACTACACAGACTGTCATAAAATGATCATAAGTCATTTCAATGATGTATATCTTAGCAGAAGAATGAAAATAAATCTTGACGCTCGAAAATATCACTTTATGTTCAGCTGGTACAAAAATTATACAAAACGTCGAAGAAAGTATAATCGTGAATTACGGTAATAATGTATTTTTTAACGAAAAGAAGAAGACAATCTTTGCAACTCACAAGTATTGCTTTAAATAGATGTTGAAATTGTCAAAATTGTCGAGAAATAATTGCGAGTCATTTTAATTTATATATTTTTAATAGAAAGAGAAAGTTGAATTTTAATACTGAAAAAATTGATATTTTATAGAGTAAGTTTAATATTTTTTAATACAGTAGTTTCTCTCTCTCTCTCTGTTTCTCTGTTTCTGTCTTTGTCTCTGTTTCTGTCTCTGTCTCTGTCTCTGTCTCTCTCTCTCCTCTTTCTCTTAAAAAAACTTAAAATCAGTTTATCCTTAAATAAAGCATTCAATATAAATAATATATTTTATTTGATGATGAATTTCAATTTCTCCAAATTACAAGCTCTAAATCGATTATAGACTCGATCACAACTAAATTCCTAAGAATTCATTAACACGTCTATAGAAAGATTTGATTTGTGAGAGAGGAGAGAGACATTCTTTTGTATGAATATAGATTCGTAGAAGGATTTATAGATAGGCTGTGCACGAATTGGGTTGATAAATCGCGTTGTATTCATCAGAAAACGTCGCTCTACCTTCTAAATAAAAAAAGGAAATGAGTTGTAGAAAATGCGAATTAGGTCCGCGGTATCATTGGAATTTAAAAGGTTTAACCGCCATAATAAAATGGTCAAAGTATTAATTGCGCTTTGCGATCGTATACTACCGATACACTAATCATCTCAAAACATAGATACTGTGTACATAAAAAAATTATGAATTTATTTTAATCAAAAATGAATTTTATGGTGTTCTTTAACTGTTGAACTTTGTCTAATTTGATTTCTTATATCAACTGTTTTTCTTTCATATGTCGTTAACGCGTTGGTGATGCAGCATCATTTGTATCATAAAAAGTCTATGCATCTATTTTTGTATGTTCTTTTTAAATATATTAAATAAAATATACAAAATGTGCTCCTGGTTCTCCACATTTTGCATTCATGTATATTAAAATAATTACAGTAATCTCTTTGGTTTGAAATTTAAGAAATGACTAAATATGATAATAAAAGCAAAAGAGGGCGAAGCTGTATCCCTCACGAGACACGATCCGAGATCCTTAATCACGGTGGTGTACCGAAATGCTCAAAGGGCCGCGACGGTGTTTGGAAATCGGCCGCTGCCGCCCTCGACACGCCCTAACCGATTCGCAGTGCGTGTGTTAGTGCGGTATCGCCTTGCAAACGGCGGTAACCACTTTGAGAACCATGCGAGGGAATTTCATTTTCGTATTACCGTGTGTGGACACCTTTCACCATTGTAACTGCAACTCATTTTATCGGATCCCACGTAGCCGTACATTTGTGCGCATACAATAGTTAATTTATATTCAACATATCGATTGGAAAAAGATAATTATACTCCCCCCTCAAATATCGATGAAAATAATATATTCCTTTAACTGTCGATTAAGATCTGTGACTCGTGAGAATATCCTTTGTTCGTCGATACTTAATAAGTATCATGTGATGTATTATATTCACACAGTTTCATAATTTTAATAAGTCTCTCTTGATGAAGAATCTTTTCCAGATTTCTTAAAAATTAAAAAAAAATATTTCATATTTATTTCTTCTTTTCTTTTTGTTACTAATAGCAATATATATAACAGTTAATAAAATAATATTTAATATTATTTAAA